GTTATGTGCCTGCGACCCGTAGCGACCCTCTGTACAGCAGCTCAGAAGCCTGCCTTGTCTTGAGCCAGTCTCATTGATTCCGACACACTTACCCCTATTGCCCCAGTTACTATAAGAGCATATAATTATTAATAATCACTAGTGAATAGTAATACATAAAACACTATTGCTACTAATGTGATTATTACTAATAGTCTCACATTAGAATACTCTTACTATGTTCACATGATGTGGTTTTTGTTATGGGGATGTGTTAACGGCTGCTAACCAAAAGATCAGCACTTTGAATCCATCAGCAGCTCCTTGGGAGAAAGAGAAGGTGACTTCCCTCCCCTGTAAAGACTGACGACCTTGCAAACCCAGCAGAGGGTTGTCAGGGGTTTGCATTGACTCGACAGCAATGAATTGGATTATTTGTTGTACACTGTTTGTTGTTAATGAATTGTTGTTATTTTTATTATGTGCTGTCAACTCACCTGCGACTCATAGAGACCTTATGTACAACAGTCCTAAACCTTGTTCTATCCTGTGCCAATCTTATTGTCTCTGACACACCTACCTCCATTCACCTACCCCAGTCACTGAATCAATCCATCTCATCGAGGATCTTCCTCTCTTGTGCTGTCCCTCCAGCCTCCCAAGCATGATGTCCCTCTCCAAGGACTGGTCCCTCCTTGCAGCATGTCCAGTGTATGTCAGGCAAAGTTTTAGAATCTTTTTTCCAAGGAGCAGCCTGGCTTCACCCTCTCTAGGATGAACCTATTTGTTCTCTTAGCAGTCCATGGTATATTCAATACTCTTCTCCAGCACCACAGCTTAAAGACATTAATTCTTCTATCATCCCTAGTCATTGTCCAGCTCTCTGATGCATAGCAAGTAATTGCAAAGACTATGGCCTAGATCAGGCACACCTTAGTCTCTACACTGACATCATTGCTCTTCAGTACTTTGGAGAGGTCGCTGACAACAGACTTTTCCAGTGCAATTCATCTTTTGATTTCCTGGCTGCTGGTACCAAGAGTGTTGATTGTGGAGCCAAGAAAACTAAAGCTGTGAACAATCTCAATCTCTTCACCATCTATCATCATGCTGCCAATTGGCCCAGTGGTTAGAATCTTTGTTTTCTTGATGTTGAGCTTCAATCCATATTGAAGTCTGCAGTCTGTGACATTCTGCAGCAAATGCTTCAGGTCCCCCTCAGTTTTCAGCAATCAGGGTTGTGTCATCTGCATAATGCAGATTGTTGATGAGTCTTCCTCCAATCCTGATGCCATATTTCTTCTCATAGAGCCCAACCTCCCGCATAATCTGTTCCGCATATAGATTGCAAAGATATGGAGATAGGATACATCTCTACCATAAACCTTCCCTGACTTTGAACCATGCAGTGTTTCCTCGCTCTGTTCTGATGACTGCTTCCTGGTCCAAGTATAGGCTTCACATAAGCACAGTAAAGTGTGTTAATGAATTACCAACTAATTTTTATTTGTACTAATAATCTTTTAGAGTTAATTGTAGGCCGGTATTTCTATCTCTGCACTATGCGTTTCTGTCAGCTGGAGTCATATGGAATTGATTTTATCTGTAGGTGAAAACTGTCTACTGTTGGCAGTTTGACACAATTCAACATAAACATTTATAATCTAAAACAAAAGTACATCCTAGTGGTCTCATTTGGGTAAAGATTGGTTATGAGACACTTTTCTTCTTGTGTATAAGAAATGAACCTGGGCGGGGGGGAGGTAGAGAAAATAGTGCAACAATGAATCAATGGAAATCCAAAATCTCTGTAAATGTTCATTAAAATTAATAAAATTTAAAAAAAAAAAGAAATGAACCTTGGCTTAGCTTCCTAACTGGTTTCCCTGGAAACCAGATAGAGGTGGAATGTCAACTCTGTTGCTAGGCAACATAACAGGATAAAATGATGGAGCCCTGGTGGCATAGTTCATAACGTGTCTGGCTGTTAACCAAAAGCTGATGGTCCGAATCCATCAGTCTCCCTAAGGGAGAAAGATCCATAGTTGGCTTCCTTAGAGATTGACAGTCTTGGAAACCCAACAGAGAGCCGCCATGAGTTGGGCTTGAGTCAATGGCAGTGGGTGGGTTAGTATGTGACACATCTGCATATATTTGGTTAGAGGCTGAGTCTGTGCCTGTGGACGTGATACTTGAGTTATTGGCTCCTATGGGGCAAGGGGCGTCTATACTCAGGTGGATCCCAGCACCACCAATGTAGATATAATCTCCTTAAACCTGGCTGTCACTTGGTCCACTCTCCAGGTACTCATCTGCAGGTCACTTATTTAAGCTTTGCAGCAACCCAAGGGAAGTTGAGCGGGTTGGTACCCACTGTCCAGAGGATCTGTTAATTTCCTTGGCCTGTGTCTTGTTGTTATGTGCCATTGAGTTGCCTGGGACCCATAGAGTCCCTATGTACAGCAGCTCTGAAGCCTGCCCTGTCCTGGGCTAGTCTCACTAAGTCTGACACAACAACCCCCATTGCCCCAGTTACTGTATCAGTCCATCTCATCTGGGATCTTCCTCTCCTGTGCTTTAGGAGAAAAATTTCCCAGGGATCCCTCAGAATCCAAATGAGCCCAGTAGCTAACACAAATTCACAGAGGGCAACTGAGAACTCCAGGGGAAGTAAAAAGCCTCTGGAGTATTTATTTGCTCAGCCAGATAAACAGTAAATGAATCGATAAATAAGTGCATGAATTAGCAACTTATCTACCACCCTCTTTTCATCCCATGTTCATCCCTCTGGCTCCTTTCAGTGTCCTGGAGGGGTCAGTGATCCCACTCTACCTCTCCTGCCACACCTTCCCTGACTGCAAAGTAGGGATTGTAGTAGCATTGGTGAACTCAGTCAAGAGCTCAGCACAGTCCAAGCACATGGGAACCAAAACTCCAAGCAGACCCACTGCTGTTGAGTCAGTTCTGACTCATCTCGACCTTATGGGACAGAGTAGAACTGCCCCATGGGGCTCCCCAGGCTGCAAGCAGACTGCCGTATCTTCTCTCCTCAGAATGGCTGGTGAGCTTGAACTACCAGGGCTGCTGCTATATAGTAGGGGCTCCATAAATGTAAGCTGCTGTTACTCTCGTGACAATGACAATTACCAGTATTATTAGCTCTGGTGGCTAAGTGGTAAGAAGCTTCGCTGCTATCCCAAAGGCATGAGGTTCAAATCCACCAGCTTCTCTGAAGGAAAAGGATGGGCAATCTCCTTCCCCGGGATTTTCTGCTTCTGAAAACCCAACAAGTATTATTATGAGTATTATTCTTATCCCTGTTCTGCCCATTCTGCCCTCATCTCTGACATGCAGGATGCTACCTCTCAAACCTCCACCCTGATGTCCCCAGTTTTATTTCTGTCTCCCAAATAATCAGTTCATACACAGCCAAAATGTACTTCATATTTCTACTTCTGTTTCCCCCAACAACTGCCTTGAAACACACCCTCCTGTCTTCCTCACTGTGTCCTGGAAGCCAGTCATGATCTGACCCCTGACTGCCTCCCTCCACTCTCCTCAGCCATGCTTGTTTCTGCCTCAGGGCCTTTGCACTTGCTAACTTCCTGCAGAAACATACACCCTTCCCCTGCAGTCTTCCTCAGGCCAAGTCTTACCCTTTGGGTCTTAAGGTCAATGTCCAGAGGCTATTTCCTGACTTCCAACTGGAAGGTGATCATCTCTTACAACACACAATTCTCATCCCTTGAAGCTATTTCCAGTTGTATGTTTATGTGATGGCTTATCCTGTTCCTGCAACATGAGTGTCTTGCAAACAAGGATATTGGATCTCTCTTTTTAGCTGCTGTTGAGTGTGTTGCCCGCTCATGGTGATGTCACTGCAGTGGGATTGAACTGTTTGTTGTTCTCCATTGGGTCTTGGGTGGGGTTTTTTTTAATTATTATTTTTATTTTTATTAATTTTAATGAAAGTGTACAGAGACTTATTCATTGTTACACTTTTCTCCCTGCCCACCCCCTCCCCCCAATTCACTCTTCTCCCTGAAAAATAAAAGAAAAACTCTTTATGCAGTCCCTCCCCACAAGTCCACTCCACTGTGCAGCCCTTCATTCTGGACTCCTATCATGACAATAATACCCAATCATATGTCCCTTTTAAACTGTTCTCTCCCTCATCTGTTTCAATGCTGTATACATCATTCCTCCCCTCCTTCTCTGTCAGTCCCATTTTACAACAGTGGACTTATACAATATTTGTCCTTTTGTGACTGAGATATTTCACTCAGCATAATGTCCTCCAGGGTCAACTATTTTGCATAATATTTCATGAGTTCCTTGTTTCTCAACATAGCAGAGTATTCCATTGTGTGAATATACCAGAGCTTCTCTATCCATTCGTTTGTTGATGGGCACTTGGGTTGTTTCCAGCTCTTTGCTATTGTGAACAAAGCCACGATAAACATGGGTGTGCCTGGGTGTTTTTTTTTTTTTAAATTTTGAGCATGTGATATCTTTATTTGAAAAATGGGTGTTGGGTTTTTATAAAGTCTGTATACATATGCGCACAACAGCTTTATTCACAGTCACAAAAGTCTGTGGGCATCCAATGGTCTAGTCTGTAGGAGCTGCACTGCTAACCTGAAGGAGAAAGATGGGCGATCTCTCCCTATGTGATTTACAGCCTCAGCAATCCAACCGAGGGTCAGTGTTCAGGCAACACGGATGAGTCTCAGAGGCATTAAGCTGAGAGGAGCCAGCTCAAAGGCTCTGTGATTGTATGACATTCGGAAAAGGCAGAAGTATGAGGCCAGAGGCCAGATCTGTAAGGACAGGGTGAGAGGAGGACTTGACACAGCAGCAGGAAGAAGGGTCGCACTGGAGCTGATGTGGATCCTCCTGTGAGCACAGGGTCTTTATGGCTGATTTTCAGAGGCAGACAGCTGGCCATCTGGAGAGTCTCAGACTGAGATGGACGAGGCCAGGCGTCCTGCCCTTTCTAAGCTGGCTCTGTGTGTTTCCAGGGCTCCATTGGCCTCCAGAGAACCGGAAGCTTGCCTCGCAGGAGGGGGGAGAGGGCAAGCCAGAGAGGATCACCCCGACCCGTGTCTCTGCATTGCACTGGTGAGGCCACCTTTCCTACAGCGGGGGAAGAACCTGCATGGACGCCTGCCTGAGAGGAAGAAGAGTGCCTGGGCAAGGGGGTATCCAGTGTTCTGACCTGACGCTATCTCCCCAGGACCCCCGGAGGCTTCGGCTCTTGCACCAGTAGCAGGGGATTCTGGGAGACACCCCCTCTATCAGCTATTAAACTGTGGCCCTGGGAATAGGTGAGGCGGCCAGGAGCAGGTGGGGAGATGGGAGAAGAGACTGATAGGTTCTCACTGCCTGGTCTCTGTTCTCTCCTCCCAGCTGCGGAGCCCTGCACCCAGACATTGCCCGCATGGAGCGGCTCCTACTGCAGGCTGTGGCCGAGAGGGAGCGGCTGCTGAAGGCCAGGGTGAGACGTAAACCCTCCTCCTGGGGGATAGGAGCCCCTCTTTCCTTAGACCCATGAGTCCAGGCCCCTGGACTCCTCCGCCCTCAGACTCAAGCCCCAGCCTCTTCTTTCCTCACACCCAGAAGTCAAGGGCTCCAGCCTTTTCCCACCTCAGGCCAAGGCCCTAGTCCCCTCCTCCCTCAGACCCAGGAGTCCAGCCTCCAGACCCCTCCTCCCTCAGACTCAGGAGATAGGGCTCCCTCCTCCCTCAGACCCAAGCCCCAGCCCCCTCCTCTCTCCGACCCAGAAATCCAGATCCCCAGACCCCTCCTTCCTCAGACCCAAATGTCCACATCTCCAGCCCCCTTTCCTTAGATCTGGGAGTCCAGGCCCCCAGCCTCCTTCTCCCTCAGACCCTGTAGTCCTGTATGTGGCTAATTAGCATCCTCACTGTTTCATCCTGAACCCGCAGGAAGGGACAAGAAAGAGCACTGGAGGTTCCTCAGGCCCAGCTCTACCTGCCATCATGGTCAGTCCCACCCCGCCCTCACCCTTTTCTCCCTCCCCCCTGCCCTGTGCCTTTCATTATACCTCACCCCCTCCTCCCTTCTCCCCTGACCTGTGCCTTTCATTATACCTCACCCCCTCCTCCCTTCCCTCCTGCCCTGTGCCCCTCTTTATACCTCACCCCCTCGTCCCTTCTCCCCTGATCTGTGCCCTTTTTATACCTCACCCCCTCCTCCCTTCCCCCTGTCTGCCCTTCGTTATAACTCACCCCCTCTTCCCTTCCCCCCGCTTGTCTTTCATTATACCTCACCCCTTCCTTTCTTCTGACTGAGTTCAGCAAAACTGAAACCCAAACCCTCTGCCATTGAGTCCATTCCAGCCCTGAACTTGGCAGGGAACAGGGAAATAAGAAGGCCTCAGCTCCTGTCCCAGTGGGGCCAGCTGTGCCCAGTGGGCTCTCTGGTAACTTGGTCCACCTCTGTGCCTCGGTTTCCTCTTCTGTAAATTGGTGACAGTGTCAAGCAGTTACAACACAACAAGGGCAATTACATGCAAGGGCTTTACAAAAGAATTGAAGATTTTATTTTAAATTTTTGTTATAAAAATTTTTAGACATACACAAAATTACAAGCATATAATAAACAACATGTGAACCCAACCCAGTGCTGTCAGATGGGTTTTGGCCTATAAGGAATCACTATGGGGTTTCGGAGACTGTAAATCTTTTAGGAGGGGACTGGCTAGCTGTCTCTCAGGGAGTGGATTTGAACTACTGACCTTTCGGTGGTGATGGTTGTTGTTATTTGCTGTTGAGTCGCCTGTGACTCATACCTGTGTACAATAGCTCTGAACCCTGCTCCATCCTGAGCCAGCCTCACTGTCTCCGACACACCTACCCCCATTACTCCAGGCACTGAGTCAGTCCAGCTCATTGAGGGTCTTCCCCTACTGTGGGCTCCTAAACCACACCATTCAAGGTTACCAGTAGTGAAGCTTCTTTCACTTGCCAACTGTATTTTCACTAATCTACATACTTCCTATTCTGCATGGGAATATTTCCTTTATTTCTTTTTTATAAATTTTTATTTTATATTGGTTTGCTTACAAAGTTCGTATACATTGTTTTTACACTATCTTCATTCATGTTATGTTTCTTTCATACAATTATTCCCATTCATTATGTTGTTGTTATTATGTGGCGTCGAGTCGCCTGTGACTCCTAGCGACCCTATATACAACAGCCCTAAACTCTGCCCTATCCTGTGCCAATCGCACTGTCTCCGACACACCTACCCCCATTATTACCCCTGTCACTGAATCAATCCACCTCATAGAGGGTCTTCCTCTCCTGCGCTGTCCCTCCACCCTCCCAAGCATGATGTCCTTCTCCAAGGACTGGTCCCTCCTTGCAACATGTATTTTATAAAATTAATCAACATTGAAGTACGTCCGCCATTGCCCTGTCTTTCCAGATCCTTGCTGGATCTTTCCCATTTCCTTTTCCCACCCCTACCTCTACCCATCCAATTGTATGACCTTATGATTTCTCCCCTTCCGTCCTCACCCCTCTGCTCCTATCCTTCCCCCCTGCCCTTGGATCCTCATGCAAGTTTTACTTGTTATCTATTTCTACAATAATGATGTTCTACAGTGTTTGCCTTTATGGGACAGAGTTTACTCAGCATAATACTCTCCAGTCCCTCCCAAGTTAGGTAGTGATTTTTGAAATGTACCACAATTTCTCAATCCATTCAATTGTAGTTGGACATTTGGGCTGTTTCCATGTTCTTACGATGGTGAATACTATGAACATTGGTGTACGAATCTCCATTGGTGTCTCAGTTCTCATTTTCTCGGGGTATATATTCCTAGTAGTGGAATAATAGCTGGATCTTATGGAGTTTCTCCGTTCAGCTTTTTGACGAAACACTAGACTGCCTTCTGGAGTAGTTGTGCTATTTCACAATTCCAGCAGCAGTATGAGAGTTCTTATCTCTGAACATCCTCTCCAACTTTTACTGCTTGCTGTTCTGCTACTTTGCCACTGCTACTCAGGTGAGATGCTATCTCATTGTGGTTTTGATTTGCAACCCTCTTACTGTGCACTGGGATATTTTAAAGCAAATTCCAGATGTTGTATCATTCGTCCCATGCTTCAGAGGGGCCTTGGTGCCACAGTGGTTAAACAGTTGTCTGCCAACCATGAGGTCAACAGTTTGAATCCACTAAGAGCGAAAGAAGTGGCTGGCTGACTCCAGAAAGATTACAGCCTCAGCAACCCCTTGGGGCAGTTGTATTCTGTCCGGTGGGGGTGCTGTGACTCAGAATGGACTTGCATGCTCTGGGCTTGATTTTTTTTTTCTGGTTTACCAGCACTTCACTCTGTATTTTCACTACAGATAGTCTCCAGGTTATGAATGTCCGATTTTACTTGCGTTTAACATTATGTTCGTTTCCCCACACTTTGAAATAATCAACCAAGCACATCTTGCAAATTCTTTATTGCCGTTACCTTCATTTGTTGCACATGTAGCCTTTAATCATCATTAAGGCTTGAGCCTTTTCTTGCACTAGTCAGACTTAACTCCATTCTGACTTACAATAATTCAAACATTTTTCAAATTGATGTACAAACTCAACTTAAAGATACACTTAGCAAGCAGATCTCATTCGTCACCTGGGAGCCACCTTAAATGGAAGTTGACAAGTCATACTTGTTTTTCATTCATGTACATTTTGTTTATAGCATTAACTACAATTGATAAATGCAATTAATTAATACAAAAGTCTGCTCAGCCCTTTATTGGATATTCCCTTTACTTTCCCTCAGCTTATCTATGCATTAATTTTTACTTTCCTTCCCCCTTTCTCCCTACCCTAGCAACTGCTGAAATTGAGTTTTTATTTGTTAGGGGGGTTTTTAGCATAACAAAGCTCCATTATTATGCCTTAATACATCTTAATTACGGCTGTTAATATTCTGCTAACATCATAATATTTACATTCACAGTTTTCCTGTCAGCTTGGAAATGTCTTTTTTAGCAAGCTTAAATAAGATTGTGGTGCTGAACATGTGTACAGAATGCACTTAACTGAAGTGTTTCTTAAACCTTTCAATCTTTCAACGCACACTCACCTCTGTTTTTTTAATGTCATTTGTCATGTAGGTTGCCTTGCGTTGTTGGTTTAACTGATGGCTTCCTTTTTAAACTTTTCTTTTACCTACACTAATTGAGGAGAGAGCTCTGGTGACGAGTGGTAAGGAACTGCACTGCCAGCCTAAAGGCTCATGGTTCAAAACCACCAGTTGCTCCGTGAGAGAGGGATGGGCAGTCTCCTTCTGTGCCATTTACTGCCTCTGGGTTCTGACTCAACAGTACACAGCAACAGTAGTGTGAGGAGGGAGCTCTGGTGGCACATGGAGCTGCTAACCCAAAGGATGGCGGTTCAAACCCACCAGCTGCTCTGTGGGAGAAATCCTCCTTGTGTGATTTACATCCTCACAAATCCAGTGGCCAGTCAGCTGTGGGTTGGAATCCACTTGGGTTTGGTTTTTAGGAAAAGGATGGGCAGTCTCCTCCCATTCCATTTACCAACTTCTGAAAACCTATAGGGTCAGCTGTGAGTTGACTCTGATCCACAGAATGTAACCACATCGGCGTGAGTACATTTTTGCCAGAAGGAATGGAATAATGGGAGCGTGCAAGTCACCCTCAAGCCCTCCTCCACGGAGGTGTTCTGTGTTTGTAAGGAAGCTTTAGAATCATCTTTGTACATTCCCACCTGCACTCATCAAATGGTATTTTGTGAGTTTAATGTTCCTGTCAGTGGGCATGTTATTTGTAGCTAATTCTTTGCTTTCTTAGCAATTTGTTCTCTCCCAACAAATATCCATTGAGTAGCTGGCCTGCTGACCTGGGTTAGCAGTTGGAATCCACCAGCCAGAGACTTGCTTTATGGGAGAAAGATGAGACAGTCTCTTCCTGTCTGGATCTACAGCCTTAGAAACTTGAAGGTCGCTGATAGTCAGGGTCTACTTAGCAGCAGTGGGTTTGGATGTTGTATGGCAGGTCCTGGGTAGTACAAAGGACTTGCACTGAGCTGGTAATGGAAAGGTTGGTGGTTCAAATCCACCTAGTGACCCCAGGGAAGAAAAGTCTGCCAGTCAGCTTCTATAAAGATTGCTGTTATGTACTGTTCGGTCAAAGCCAATAGCTGACCCTCCAGCAGCTTTTCAGAGGCTGGAGATCACATGGAAGGAGACTGCCCATCTTTCTCCTGTGGAGAAGCTGGTGGATTCGAACCACGTGCCTTTGGTTTGGCAGTGCAATTCCTTAACCTGTAGGCCACCATAAAGATGACACCCGAGGAAACTGTGGGGCTCGGTTCCACTGTGTAACCCACAAGGTCACTGTGTGAGTCAGAATCAACTTGCTGCAGTGGGCTTGGCTTCTTTGCTAGACCTTGCATTAGCCGCAGAGACCAAAGTGAAATGCTCCGCCCTTGAAAAGCTATTGTCCTGTGGGACAAATGAACAAGAAAGCAGCATCAATAAGTAAAATAAACAGCATGTCAGAGCCTGATAAGAGCCAGGAAGAAAGAGCCAGAAAGCAGTGGAGCTTTGTGGCTCACTAGGTAAGAGCGCGACCTCATTAAAAATTCAGGAGCCTCCTTTCTTGCTCTCCATCGCGTGGGCGCCCTGTCATTTAGTAAACAGCCTCTGTCTCCCCAGCCCTGTGCCCACGATGGCATTCTGTGCCTGTGTGCAGAGTAGCTGATATCTGCATCTAGAAGTGCAGTCTAAAAAAATCCAGACAAAAACCCAATTAAAAAAAACCCAACTCATTGACGTGGAGTCAGAACCAGTGTGGGTTTCAGAACCCATTGTCAAGGACCTGCACTGGGTTTCCAAGGCCACAGGCTCTCAGTTGTACAGGAGGAGACCACACGGAGGAGACTGCCCCTCTTTCTCCTGCAGATTCGAACTGCCAGAAGTGCCATCTGCAGCTCCCTACACACTATGCCCCCAGCGCTCTCTGACGTGGAAATCAGTGGGTTGAAAAACTCGACAGTGGCCACAGCCCTGTAAGCAGGGAGCTGTGCCACCTCCAGTTTTCAGAGTGGGTCTGTGGAGGAGGGCTGGGAAGCTGAGACCCTGGACCCACTTCTGCTGCACCCCTGGATTGGGCCCCAGCGTCCCAGCTGGGTGACCTGAGTCACTTCTCTAGAAGCTTTTCAGTTTCCTCTTCTGTCACAAGGGGACAGTAATGGGCTGTGGTTGAATTCCTGGTGGCGCAAACAGTTAAGCACTTGACTGCCAGCTGAGATGGTGATTTGAAGTCACTCACGTGCCTGGTGATCCGCTCCCGAAAGGTCACAGCCTTGAACGTCCTCTGAGGCAGTTCTCTGAGCCCCTTGGGTTGTCCTGAGTCCGTATTGACCGGAAGGTCACTAACAGCACCAACAACTACAAGGGGTTGTTAGGAGAGGAAACAAGGGCCACATTCTAATGACTGAACATCACGCTGGACTTAGAGGTCAGCTAAAATCACCCAGACCATCCACTGCTCATTACACTCTGACTCCGACCCTCAAGCAGGAAGAACAGACCACCCCACAGGGTTCCCACGCCTGGGAATCTTTTTGGAAGATGAAAGCAAACTGCCTCATTTTTCTCCTGTGGAGTAGTTGGTGGACTTGAACCACTGATCTTTGGGTGAGAAACTGGGGCCTTCACCACTATGCCCCCAAGACTTCTCTCTGACAACCTTGGACACCTGAGGTAGCTCCACTCTGCCCCATGGGGTCACTACAAGTTGGATTTGACTCAGGAGAAACAGATATTGTTGTTATATATAATGGTTACCCATGGTGGACAGTGCTTGGTGGAGCTCCCAGATTAAGATAGGCATGGAAGCAGGATTGGCATCCACTTCCTAAGCAACATGATTTTGGAAACTTTATGAATATTAGAGAAACTATGATAGTTATAGAACTGGGTTCAGATCTTTTGTTCATGGGGTCACTATGAGTTATACTTGACGGCACTTAATAACAAAGTGTATATATGTTGTTGTATACTGTTGAGTTAGAACCAACTCATAACTGACACTCGCAGTGGGTTTCTAAGACAGTAAATTTACTGTCTCTAAGACAGTAAATCATGAAATTATCGAACAGTATCATTAATACCACATGCAAGCAAGGTGCTGCTGAAAATTATCCAAAAATGACTGGAGCCATGCATCGATAGAGAACTGCTAGATGTGCAGGCTGGGTTTAGAAGAGGCCGTGGTACTAGGGATATTATAGCTAATATTAGATGGACTTTGGCTGAAAGCAGAGAGTACCGGCAAATGTCTGTGTTTTATTGACTATGCAAAGGCATTTGACTGTGGATCACAACAAACTGTGGCTGACTCTGAGAAGAATGGGAATCCCAGAACATTTGATTGTGCTTATGTGAAACCTATGCTTGGACCAAGAGGCAGTCATCAGAACAGAGCAAAGAGACATTGCAGGTTCAAAATTGGGAAGAGTGTACACCAGGGATGTGTCCTGTCTCCATAGCTTTTCAATCTATAGGCAAAACAGATCATCCAGGAGGCTGGGTTGTATGAGGAGAAATGTGTACCAGGATTGGAGGAAGATTCATCAACAACCCTGCTTGCTGAAACTGAGGAGGACCTGAAGCACTTGCTGCAGAAGGTCAAGGACTGTAGTCCTCAATATGGATTGAAGCTCAACATCAAGAAAACAAAGATTCTTATCATTGGGCCGATTGGCAGCATCATGATAGATGGTGAGGAGATTGAGATTGTTAACAGCTTTAGTTTGCTTGCCTCCACAATCACCATTCTTGGTACCAGCAGCCAGGAAATCAAGAGATGAATTGCGTTCGGGAAGCTGGCTGTCAGGGACCTCCCCAGGGTACTGAAGAGCAACGATTCCAGTCTGGAGACTAAGGTGCCTGACCCAGGCCATAGTCTTTGCAATTGCTTGCTATGCATCAGAGAGCTGGACAATGACTAGGGGTGATAGAGAATTGATGCCTTTGAGCTGTGGTGCTGGAGAAGAGTGTTGAGTATATCATGTACTGTCAGGAGAACAAACAGGTTCGTTCTAGAGAGAGGAAAGCCAGGTTGCTCCTTGGAGGCTTCGTCTGTGGCTTTATCTGACATACTTTGGGCATGTTGTAAGGAGGATCTGGTCCTTGGAGAGGGACATCATGCTTGCAAGGATGGAGGGACGGAGAGAGGGAGACCATTGATGAGATAGATGGATTGATTCAGTGACCGGGGTCATGAGGGTAAGACAGTCATGTGTGTCAAACAGTAAAGTTGGCACAGGATAGAGCAGGTTTCAAGGCTGTTTGTACATAGGGTCGCTATGAGTCACAAGCTACTCAACAGCGCATAACAAATCACATGGGAGAAGATTGCCCATCTTTCTCCTGCAGAGCCATGTACTTTTGTGTTTGCAGTGTGATTCCTTACTACTAAGCAGCAGAGCTTCGTGTGTGTGTGTGTGTGTGTGTATGCTACCATCCACACATACCCCCCATTATATATACACACCCCAGTACAGCTCCCTCTGACACACAGAGGACACGTGCATACACGTTGTGATCATTGTTTCACCGCAGGGATTTGGAGAGGTGACAGGTAAGGTTCCAGCCCCTGCAGTTGCTCTCCAGTGTCCCCTGTCCTGTGCAGTCCCTGGCTCCATTTCCTTTCTGCCTCGCTCTCCCTTCCCTCTAGCCAGAGAACCCATGTATCTCCTCTCTCCTCCCCTCTATCTCCTCTCCTCTCTCCTCCCTTTTCCCTCTGACCTCCTTAGCTTTCTCAGCTCTCTGGACTCAGTGTAGTTTGGGGATCAGTGGCATCTTATCCCCTGGGAGCTAGTTATACCGCAGACCTCAGCCCCACTGCAGACATATGGCTTGCAGCCTGAGATGTGTGGCTGTGAGCCTCAGTTTAAAGGAGTCCTGGTGGCACAGTGCTTAAATACTCTGCTGCTTCTGAAAGGTGGGCGATTCGAAGCCCCCAGCCTTTATGGGAGAGAAAGATGTGGCAATCTACTTCCATAAAGGCTATAGCTTTGGCGCCCCACAGGAGAGCTGTGCCCCGTCCTATGGCTCTCTGTGAGTCTGAATTGACTTGACAGTGGCTCAAAGCCTCGGTTTAGGCATTTGACGCAAACAGGACAGATGGCATTTTGGGGTGTCCATATCCATCGGTGGGAGTCCCTGGCCCCTCCTTTCTCATCTCAGGTTAAGCAGTAGACAGCTCTGCCTGTGTGACTTGATCGAGTGGCTTAACATTTGAACCCATAAAGTGTTGGGGCCTGGAGGTAAACGTACTTACCCCAGGGGCCTGAGAAGTTGGAGAGAGCATATACTGTGCTGGTTGTCACTGCTGATGGCTTCTGAGTCCCTTCCAGCTCATGGTACAACTGCAGAGTTCTCAGGGCCTGACCATAAGGCCTGTTTTCCCATCTGCCTCTGGGTGGGTCTGAACCACCAGCCTTTTGGTTCATAGTCTTGCACTCAACGATCTGTATACTTCAGGGCCTATAAAGATTTACCCAGAAGCCCCAGCACTGTCAAGTCTGTTCTGAGTTCTCAAGGCTGTGAATCTTAACTGGAGCAGATTGCTTCAGCTTTCTCCTGCGGATTCAAACCGCTGACCCTTCAGAGCAGTCCAGCGCATAACCCTCTGTGCTATCAGGGCTTCTAGGAAAGGGCTTGTTATTGCTGTTGTGTACCATTGAGTCGGAACTGACCCATATCTGACCCACCAGCAGGGTTTCAGAGGCAGTTAACGGCACAGGAGGAGAGTGCCCATCCTCCCGCGGAGCAGGTGGTGGATTCGAACCACGCGCCTTCAAGATTGCAGCACAGCTTCTTACCACATGGGATAATAATCACAAGGGAGGAAACCCACTATCAATGCTGCTGTTGTTGTGTGCTGTCGAGTTGGAACAGACTCAGAGGTGACCCTCCTCCACTGGCTTTTCGGAGGCAGTAAATCTCATTGGAGGAGATTGCCCATCCTTATCCTGCAGAGCAGGATTTGAACCACATGCCTTTGTGATTGCAGTACAGCTTCTTACCACTGTTGTTGCTTGCCTTCAAGTCGAGCATGACTCATAGCGACCCTATGAACAAAAGGCCTGAAACCCCACTACAACTATCGATATCTATCCAAGTTCATGGAGGCATGTTGTTTAGGAAGTGGATGCTGCTTCTGCTTCCAAGCCACCAGAACTCACTTTTCTCCAGCAATAGCAGCCATAGAAACACATTTCTGACATGGCACCCTGGTGTTTCAGAGCGATCTCTAGACTCAGGAGGACCTCAGTTTGGATCCCAAGTCTGCCCTCAACAGCTCTGTGTGACCTAGGGCAGATTAGCTAATCTCTCTAGACCTCAATTTGCTCGTCTATAAAATGGGCCTCACGGTAACCCTGTGTGGGGTCAAGGAATTGATGCTCATAAAGCCCTGGGCAGAGTGTCACTGTCAATAAATACAGCTGTTGGAGTCCTTATTATCATCATTGTTAATATTACTGTTTAAAAACTGGTAGGTAAATATACTTACATGTGAGTTGCTATGACTGGACTGTTTTTTGGGGGGGCTCTGGGCTGCAAGGTGGTCAGCCGCCCCCTTCCCCTTCCCTCCCCAGGCACCACCCCCACCCCCACCACGCCCTCCAGGCCCCCGCGTCTTGGATCTCCGGCAGCACCTGGAGCGATGGGGCCACAACCCAGAAAGCTGCCCGCAGATCCGGGTGTCGGGGGGCTGCTGCCGAGGACCCCTGGTGAAGATGGGAGGACGCATCAAGACCTGGAGGAAGCGGTGGTTCTGCTTTGACCGCCAGGCCCGCCGTCTGGCCTACTATGCAGGTCAGTCCAGCTGAGTGTCCCAGGCCCCAGGATAGTCCGATCCAGAGGTCTCTCCCCCTCAGACACCCAGGAGGTCTGGCTGCAGCCCCTTGCTCTCTTAGGCCTCTAAGCCTAAGCATCCCTCAGGATGCAGGAATCCGAGTCCCCAGTCCCTCTTTCCCCCGTGATGCAGGAATCTGACTGCTCCTCCATAACCCAGGAGGCTGGACCCCTCATTTCTTGAGCTCAGGAATCCTGACCCATAATTCCTTCCTCCTTAGGTGACCAGAAACCATCCCTTCCACCTATCAAATTGTGTGACCTTATGATTAACACCCCCTTGCAGCCTCATCTTCACCCCTCTGCTCCCACTTCCCCCCCCCCCCGGCCCCCAGCCTTTGCTAACATACTTGTCTGGTGCAGATCTGGGTCCCCAGCCTCCATCTTACATGACGCCTGGGAGCCTGGGCCTAGGTCCTCTCCCCTGGGAATCAGACCCTCGTCTTTCCTCCCTAGGGGAGTCAAGTATTAGGCCTCCCCATGAGTTCCGGAGTTTGCCAGGACATCCAGAGACCTGAGCTTCTAGTGCCCTAGATTCCATTCTGGCCCTGGTGGCCTAGTCTGTAGAACAGTGCACTGCTAACCCAAGGCCGAGCTACTCTGATGGTTGGAATCCACCAGTAGCTCCTGAGAAACACAGGCCATCTCCTCTCATGGGACTTACAGCCTTGGAAACAACCCAGTGGAGGGGCAGCTATAAGTTGGAACTGGATTGAGATTCCATTCTCCAACACCCCTGGGAGTTTGGGCCCTGATGCTGTCCAGCCTGCGCACCCCAGCTTCTGTGCAGCGTCTTCAGCATTCACATGTCCTTCCCAGCATGCCACTTTAGGGACCTTCAAATCCTCAACATGTTTCTCGCCCAAACCCCGCTTTGACTTGGGCCCAGTGACCTCAGCCCAACTGTGTCCCTCATTCTTTACTGACTGTTTCTCCCTCACCTTCTTCCCCAGATAAGGAGGAGACCAAGCTCAAAGGTGTCATCTACTTCCAGGCCATTGAAGAAGTCTACTATGACCACCTGCGTTGTGCCTTCAAGGTGAAGTCCTCCGAGTGGGACTCTGGAAGGCCCCACAGTCATGCCTGAACTCATCTGGCCTGTCCTATCCCGGCAAGGCCAGCCACAGCCCCTATTAGAGCATGTGTCACCCCACGGGAGGCCAGCAGGCTTAGAATGAAGAGGCTCTGCTTCTCAGCTGCTGTTACTTTTCTCAGAGCAGAAGTCTAAGTGCAAAAATCTGATACTCTCTGATGCCAGGCTGGGGATAAATGAAGGCAGAGAAAGGCAGCCTGGGGAGCAACTAGGAGAGACAATTATTACTCAGCTTCTGTCTCTAGTTGCCAGGAAACGATGGGGCCCATGATATCATATAATTTCTTTCTATCTATCTATCTATCTATCTATCTATCTATCTATCTATCTATCTATCTATCTATCTATCTATCTATCATCTTCCCCCAGAGAACCCAGGACTCAGAATCATCAGGAAAGTACAGTGCTAGAAATTATTTGCTGGCAAATAATTCCATTTGGAGAAGGTTCCGTGGAGAACAAATGACTCTGCCTCTGTAAAGCTTAAATGGGAATTCCAGCTGTGCGACCATAGGAGAGTAGCTTCCCTTTGCTCAGCCTTGGTTTTCTCATCTGCAGAATGGGCGCAGTCAGCCCACCTCTCTGGGTTATAAGGTTTAAACTGATTACGGGTAGAAGATTTATCCAGTGCTGGGGGTTGGCATGTGGTAGATGGTGGTTGTTGCTGTTGAGGTGGTTTTCACTCATGGTGCCCATGTGAGCAACACAACAAAAGACTGGTGCCATCTTCCTTCATGGCTGTCGGCGTACTTGCGCCCACTGTCGAGAGCCCTGTGTGCTTTGAGTCCCCTCCAACACAGAGGGGACCCTGCCTGGGACAATATTCTGTTGTGATCGATCCATAGTGTTTTCGCTGGATAATTCTCGAAGTAGACTGAAACCCACAAATCATGACAGGATGACCAAGTGACAGATGGGCGGTGGACGTAGTAAGTAGTTATTCAGTAAATGAATTCTAGGCACAAGGAAGTTGTAGGTGCAGCATCATTTACAGTTCATGCAAGCCTGCCCGGTCCTGTACCATTCTCACCATCTCTGCTTAAGTTCACTGTCACGGCCATGGGGTCAGGCCATCTTGTGGAGGTGCTTCCTCTCCAGACTTCTCCACTTACAAACCAGATGGTTCTAGATTTTCCAAAGGGGGGAATGCTGCCATTGTTGTTAGGTGTTCTCGAGTCAGAACTGACTCTTAGCGGAACCTCCAGCGGCTGTTCACCGGCTGTGAGTTGCATGGGAGGAGATCTTATGCCCTTCAGAGTAACTTAATGGATTCAAACTGTGTGTGCCTTTAGGTTGGCTGCATAACTCCTTCCCAGAGCTCCCTGGAGGAGGGATTAAAACAGTTTTAAACTCTGGCAGCTTAATATCTACTGTGTTAAACTGCCAAGCAAAAGGTTGGTAGTTTGAACTCAACATCTGTTCCATGGGAGAAAAATGGGCAGTCTCCTTCCATAGAGATGTGCAGCTTCAGAAACCTGACAGAGGGTCACTACAAGTCAGACTCAAGTGAAGGCAGTGGGCTTGGTTGTTTTTAGGGGTGGGGTGGGTTTGCTTTGGAGAAGGTGCAGCAGAATGCTCCTTCTCACATAATTTCGGGCATGTTGCTAGGAGAAGGACATCATGCTTGGAAAGGTGGAGGGATAGCACAGGAGAGGAAGACCCTCCACCAGGTGCATTGGCACAGTGACTGCTGCAGTGGGCTCAAGTGTGTCAGAGATGATGCGGACAGCAGGAGAGGACAGGGTTCCGGACAGGACAGGGCTCAGATCTGTTGTTCACAAGGTCACTATGATTCACACTCGACTTGGAGGCAGGCACCTAACAACACCACCACAATCTTTGTATGGGAAAAGACAGGCAGGGAAGGATTCATTTAAAATTTAACAGTGCTCCTAAATCTAAGTGCTTTCTTCGACTTGTTTTTTAATCCTCACAACAACCCAGTGAAGTGGGTTCAGTGACCAGGTACCCTGTTAGCAAAATAAACACAGGCTTACTTCAGTGAACAGTTTCTCTGGGCTTCACCTGTCAGTGATGATTACAAGGGAATCCTTCCAGGGACCTGTGTCCCTGTCAGGGATTGTGAACTTGGAAAAGGGGCTTTGATTCTGCAGGAAGGTGCTGTGGTATTGGAAGAGAAGGAGGCTAGCCACAACCTAATAGTGTTTTTGATGTGAAATTGTTCCTTAGAGATTAGCAAATAAGCACAAATTAAGCCCAGGTTTACCTTGGTTATTTGGATAATCCACCCCTGCGTGGGTAGCACCATTCAGAAAGACCAGATTAAGACCAAGTAATTTGTTCAATGCCACAGGGCCTATAAGTAGCAGGTGTGAGATCAGAACCTGTGTCTATTCTCTCTTAAACGCCCCCATTCTGTTGCTTGTTCCAGAGCCCCAACCCCCGCCTAACGTTCTGCGTCAAAACCTACGAGCGCCTTTTTTACATGGTGGCCCCCAGCCCGGAAGCCATGCGTATCTGGATGGACGTCATAGTGACCGCAGCAGATGAGAACCACGTCCCCTGAGTGGCTCCATCCACGGAGAGGACGTCCCACCGAGGCCCCGCCCCCATGTGGAGAGACCACGCCCCCGGTGCGAGAGGCCACGCCCACGTCTGGCAAGCCTGGAACACTCCCGGGAATCCTGTGCAGCTGCTGGTCTGCTGCCCTAGGCACATGGCACCTTCTCTGTTTTAGACATCTGGGGCCATATTCCAGTCCCTAGGGCTCTTCCCCAGGCACAGAGAAGATTGCAAGAGTGGAAAGGAACTATTTATTGGTGCTGCTGTAATACAGAATTAAACGTGGAGGAAAAACAATGGTTGCTGCTTTGGTTTCCAGGCCTGGCTTCCAAGGCCCTTGGTCCCTAAGCAGGACATACGAATTATTATGGGTGTCTGTGAGAACAAAGAGCCCCACAGCTGGTTCCCTACTCCAAGAATAGAGATCTTAAATGCTATGCCACGGCAGGCGGTCTTGGGACAATAATACATTCCTTAGCCTTTGACAATTTTACCCTGACTGGACAAACCCTACAAACTACAAGGCCCTCTCACTCCAGGTGTTATTTCATCTGCCTTAAGATTTCCAGCTAATTTCTTTTCTCCAGGGCTTAGTTTGAATGTCCCATCTGTGAGGAAGCCCCCAGGGCCTATCTCATCCCCGAGCATTGTGAGTGGTGCCTCCTGGGTCTGAGCTTTGTGAGAGCAGAACTGAGTTTTCAGGGTCACTGCTGCCTACCACCGAAAGACACATTTCACTCTCTGGAAGTGAATTTTTTTTTTATGTTTACTTTTAACCTCTGGGGACCTTGTTCATGAGGAGAATCTCAGTCTACGCTCCCACTCTTCAGTTAGGTCATAACTCAGATGTTTCCTTCTTCAGGAAGCCCTCCTTGATTCTCCTGATTGAGTCACATGCTTTCTCTAAGCTCCTGAAGAGTCCTAGGCTCTCCTATCCTGACCTGGACCCCCTCTGTTTGGGTCCCCTCATCTTCTCCCAGACCCCTGTGCCTCTGCCTTCCCAGTCCCAGCCCTGGTGACCTGGGTCATCTCGCCACTTGGAGTGGTTGTCCTAGGAGGCATGGTTTGACCCTGCCTTGGTCACCTCTGAACCTTGTACAAACTAGATGCTGAGCGAATGTTTGACGGCTGAATAAGCTGATGAAAGAGTTGCCAGGGATAGAGGACAGCCATGAACAAGGCAGGCAAAACTTTTTGGCTGGTTCCCCTTTATCCTTTTGGTCTCATACTAGAGGCCCCCTCTTTTAGAAAGTTCTTCCTTAGCTGAGACAGGTGCCTCTTCTGGCTCCTGGGGCCACTGACTATTCCAGGTGGTCATTGTCTAGAGACAGGTCCTCCCTGCCCCCCAACTCCTGGCCCCCAGCCCTATTTGATTTGAATATTCAGTCCTTCTAGTTCCCATCTCAGGCACTGGGTGTTCCAGCCCTGGGGTCCTGACCCCCTTGAAGGTTAAGATCTGGCATTCTCCTGAGTCCTGGTGTGTAAACACAACCTAAATCCCAAAGCCCTCTGGGACATCCCACACACCCACCTGGGGTATCCCTAGCCTTTACCTCCAGGTGTGAGACATTTGGATTCTTATATCCATTCACTCCTCCATCTCTCTGCTATTCCTCTCTCTGCTGACCTGGGCTAGCTTCTGGGCACAGACCAGGGCTTCTTACTCAGAAAGGGTTTAATGCTCCCAGGTTGCTGTCTTGAAATTCTCAATAATTTTATCTGTCTGAACTGGTGTTTTGTAAGTGAATTCTGTTGGGATAATGCAGTGTGTGTGTGTGAATTTAAAGGAGGGGCTCTCAGGAAGATCCCCTTCCTGTTTCCTGTCCACTCTCTAGGACAGGTTCCCCCAGCCTTCCTTGGAGTTTCCACTCAGTAGCCACCGCCACTTTCCGCACCCAGCAGGGTCTGAGTGCTGGCTTGGGAGAGTGTGGGCTACCAGATATGTCACAGACCATCTCAGAGTGGGGCACGGTGGCTGGACAGAAGCAGATTATTTAGTTTATGGGGTCTCTGCATGATAAAAATCTGTGCTCAGCCCATGAGTAAGGAACAAGACATTAAATGTCATAACAGGTAAAGGAGAGGGAGAGAGCTGGGAACAACAGTAGGCCTGCCACCTTCACGACGTTCTGTTCGAGGCTGTTGTTGGAGCCACTGGTCAATCCTCTGCAGGGAGAGTTTCCCTCATTTTCCCTGACCCTCCACTTGACCCAACAGGATGTCCTTTTCTCGAGATATGCCTTTCCATTGCAAACATCATAGGCAGTCCTGCCCTTGACCTCACCCCTTCCCTGACACATCCGACACAGCCCAGCCCAGAGGGTGAGGTCTGAGACAAGCTGAAAACTTCGCTGAGCACCGAACCTGCCCTGCCCTCCTCAAACCCAAACCCAAACCCCCTGCCATAGAGTTGACTCTAACTCATACAGGCTCCTGGGCAGACTTTCCCACAGGGCTTCTGAGGCTGTAAATCTTTATGGAAGCAGATCTTTCTCCTTTGGAGCAGATGGTAGGTCTGAACCGCCAACCTTTTGGCTAACAGCCATTGAGTGCACTTGAACCTCTGTGCCACCAGAACTCGGCCCTGCTGGATTTTTGTTTTGTTTTAATTTAAAAAAACCATACAGCCAATTCAAGGATGAGTTTCAAAGATGCCGCCTAAAGGAAAAAGCTAGACTGGAAGGGCTGGAAAAGGGGAAGCAGCCTCGAGCGAGCGTAAAAGTGTTAAAACGAAGACTCAGGGCCCCAAAGGGGGTGCCAGTGCAATAAAGGTCAGACACACTCTTTGTGAAAAATATGACAGAATTATGAAAGCCGTGGAACAGTTAAAGTCTGGAATGAAGTGTCTGCACAATAGAGTGAGGATAAAGCCAGTTACGGGGATGACTTGGGGGATGGCCAGAGGGTCCATGTAGGATCAGTCAAGAAGCAGCCTTGCCTTGCCTGTAAGTACACTGGATAAGCCTGTGTTTACAGACCTTCCAGTTAAGACAAAATTTAGATACCATATTATAATAGTTGAAGGGAGAAAATAAAATCATATGAAAGCAATAAAAAACAAAACAAAAAAAACCACATACACAAAAATACAGCCATCGAGTCCTGCCTTAGGGGACAGGAGTCCACTGTGCATCTGGCCCCAGAGTTGGCTGAGGCCCTGGTTGACCTCCAGCTCGAGGGCCACCTCCTCATTGTCCCCTGTGTTCATCTATCTGAAGCTGGATTCGCAATGACCCCTGAGGACGGGTTACCCAGAGCCCCAAAGAAGGCAACTGTAAACAGTGCTCAGGAGCCTCCCTTCACGCTCTGGTCCCGGGCCAGGCCAGGGTTAGCCCTGGGGATCTGGGCAGGCCTGAGCAGGAGGGGACTCCCCACCCTGAGTCCCACTCCCTCGAAGACGCTGGTTCTTCCTGTTGGACTGGTTCTGGGTTCCTCCCTGAAACTTTCCCACCTGGCTGGGGCCTGCAGGGCCTCCTGCTCCTGAGCACACAAATAAGCCTGGGAGAATTGCCTGCCTGCCACTCAGAGTCCCTGCTCCTACCCTTAGGAGGCAGGAGTTTGCTCATCTCACTTCAGAGAGGGAGAGGGAGTCACTTACAGTCACACAGCAAGGAGGTGGCAGAAGCAGGGTTTAAATTTTCACCTGATTCCACTTGATAAGTTCCCCATTCATTCACAAAAGACATCCCATTTCCTTTGTTTCGAAAATGGTCACTGCTTTTTTTAAATTTTATTTTATTATTATTATTATTATTATTATTATTATTTTTTTGTCACTGCTTTTGACAGAACTGACTTATAGTTGTATGCTCCAATGGATTTTTGGGGGCTTAAAATCGCACAAGAGATCACTTATCTTTCTCCCTCAGAGCCACTGGTGGCTTTGAACTGCTAGAAAGGTGTCACCTTTGGGTTAGATGTGCAACTCCTGCCTGGATTAGGCCGCAGAGCTCTATTATAAAAAGGAGGCCTCACAGGCTCAGAGAGCTGAAGACAGACTAGGGGACACAGCACACCGGAGGTGGATGAGATTAGAGACAGGAAGGTAGGGACCAGGGTTAAATGACTTTACACGAAGCCATTTTTGCTCTCAGAGCCTCAGCATGATGCCAAGTGACCCCACTTCTGTGACTGAGGTGCTTGTCAGAAGCAGAGGCGGCAAAGGACCAGCGAACAGATCGTATCTTGACCAAACCAGCCGCTATTTTCCTGGCCATCAGATAGTGAGCCAGTCAGAAGGAGATGGGTTTGACCCCTGACTCTGCCACTTCCTCTGTGTGCCAACTTGAACAAATCTCTTTTCCCTGAGTCTCAGTGTTTGCTTCTGTGAAATGGACGCACCTCTCCAACTATCTCATTAGGAATTCAAGGAAAGGCTGCTGGTAAAGGAGCTGAACACAGTTCCTGACACACAGTTGGAGCCAAAGAAATGGGGGCTATTATTAACTAATAACCGTAGTAATGATTATGACCTTAGCTGATTCTAGCCTATTATTATTCTTCGTATTAATAACAAACTTTTTTTATCCACCACTTGTCTGTCAACATCCGTGCAAGCAGCAGTCAAGAAGTCAAATGACAGTGCAACAATGAATGAATGAAAACCCAAAATCTCTGCAAATGTTCACTAAAATGAATAAAATTTAACAATAATTTAAAAAAGTCAAATGACCTATAGCAATGGGCAAATCTGCTGCCAAAGATATCTTTAAAGAGCCAGAGAGCAAGGGCATCATATTAAAGACTAAGGTGCACCTGCTCCAAGCTATGGTATTTTTCACTTGCTTCATATTTATGTGAAAGTTGGACAATGAATAAAGAGGATCAAAGAAGAATGAATACCTTTGAATTGTGATTTGATGAAGAATATTGACTATCCCGAGGACTGCAGGAAGAACAAACAAATCTGTCTTGCAAGTGCAGTCAGTGTGTTCTTTTTTTTTTTTTTCTATATTTTATTAACTTTCATAAACATTTACAGAGATTTTGGGTTTCCATTCATTC